ATAAAACATATAATTATTATACTTATGCAAAAACATTTACTTGCTTTTACCATAGTCGCTGCCACTAATACCACACACACATAGGATAAAACTATTCACCTAAAAAGTAATCACCTAGCACACACCATGAGCAGAATATTCTGTGCTATTTTTATAGTAATTATTATAAATTATTATTACAATTATTGTTGTGTAACAGCGAGTGAAACATATTGGTAACAGAATAATGTCAGAATATTTCATAATGATAGTTTTGATTGTATTTTTGTGAAATATTATATGCATTTTTATTTGGCATTAATGTCACCGATTATTCATTTAGTTTCATTCACAGAATATTCTGTCTAATAGTCCTATGGTTTGCCATATAATGTATACTCAATGTAGTGGTTATTTTCTGCATATTTCAAGTGTTTAATTAATTAATTAAAATTTTATGCGGATATTAATGACAATATTTGGACATTTTTGAGTTTATAAATCCGTTTAGATTTAATTGCGAAATACATTAATTAAAATTTAATTCATTAATAATAATCTAGCCTCAAGTCTAACCATAATAGTTTGTACATGAAAACAAAATTAATTAATTTTAATCTCGGTATTAGTTTGCAATATTCACAAAGATTAAAAATCTCACAATTTAATCATACATCTAACATAACAGTCCCAAAACATCTGACCTACCTCTATGTATTGGCTACATATAATATTTTTGATTAATGTAAACTTGCAGTTAAGCCGACAGAAGTTCGTATCACACAATTGACACCGATATTAGTAGCACAACAGGAGGCACTGTTTGAGTGCAATTCGTTTGGCTCCCGACCCATGCCTACCATTCACTGGTTTTTCGATGGCAAACGTCACGACACCCGCTCTCACGGTATGTCCACTCATGCAGTTTGTGGTCATATTATATATTATTATGTTTGAAACAACATGGTTTAAATTTATTAGCTTTCAAAGTTATCTAGACACAATGATACAAATTATACCGTTAGCACAATTTTGCTATCTCTCTCTCTCTCTCTCTCTCTCTCTCCGTTCCTTTTAAATCACATCATTATTAGATAAGAAACCATTCAATCAATAAAACCAATTAAAACCTACTCTCTCTCTCTCTCTCTCTCTCTCTCTCTCGTTACTGTACATAAAGTATATTACATTTAATTGAATAAACAGTGATATTCAATGTGAGATGAATGCCAGCAATAATTAACTGACAGATTGTTTAGTTTATTTATTGTCGAGTTTTCTCCCAGACATACGGTATGTATGTATTATATCTCCGGGTAAATTACATTGGATACAGTTAGTATTAGGTTCTTAAAATAACTTCTAGTAGCATAATTAGTGACCATTCAATCGTTATAGATAAATAAATTAAAATTTTCATGATAAAACATTTGATATACTTTATCTCGTTGCAAATTAACAAAATACTATCACATTATTTTTATTATATATTTATACACTTATAACGAGTGTTAACTGTGTATTAGCCATAGATATGTATTAATTGAATCAAAAAGTATATACTAATGATATATTGCTATCCATTATTCTCGATATCCCACTCTCTCTCTCTCTCTCTCTCTCTCTCTCTCTAATATATTATGTCATAGATGTGTTGTCAGTGTATATATAGTGTGGGACACAAAGAAATATAATTAATTGGGAAAATAATTTGCTATATTGAGTGCTCACTTGAATGTCATACAAAACACTGTTTGCTATAAGAGTTTTATCGATAGAAATGCCGTTTTATTCAACACTTTATTGAATACACGGAAAGACGGCGTGAATTAATCGCACGACAAATATAGCAAATTATTTTCCCAATTAATTATATTTCTTTGTGTCCCACACTATATATACACTGACAACACATCTATGACATAATATATAGCAAAGTACATACTAGGACACTTTATATCCGTACTATACTGTATATATGTAGAAATCTATGACAATTTCTGCTTTTATAACAAATATAATATCTTATTATATTTCTATACGATTCTGGCGTTTGGCGAACATAACAAATAATGGACATAACGTTAATAATAATAATAATGATGGTAACTATATGATAATAACACCAGGCGAGCAGCAGACATCGACCACGTTGACAATTATGGTGGACAGGGAGCACAAGGGATCATTACTAGAATGTGTGGCCCAGAATCCTAAAATACCCAACTCGGGCATTTCCGATCAAATCAAGCTTAACGTACATTGTATGTATTGCACATGGTGCTATTTTTGGTTTATTGCTTTTTTGCTTGAACTAGATTGGATTGCTATAAAAATTGCTGTCAATAATCATAATTAAATGTAATTATTGAATAATCAAGATAATTTTTAAGCTATTGTTTAGATTATGTGTTATTTATTTTTAATAATTAATAGCAAACAAAATATAATTAATTAAAATATGAATTAAACCCCACTCACAATAATTGATAACATTATATATGAATAGAATAGTAATTGTACAGAAATGACCCATCATGTTAGAAATAAAATGTACAATATACTTATTTGTAAATGTAGCACATACTCGCTCTAGACTCTAGCAGCTAGAGTGTTTTTTGTTTTTGTTTTCCAATATCACTGTATATAAGACAATATATTTTATGAGTTATTTTTGTTTTTTTTGTTTTTGTGAATTCACTTTTTATTATAAATGTGTTGTTATTTTGATTATACGTTATATTTATAATGAATGGCACTATTTTCGGATCATTTAACCCGTTATAGCGCAGTACACTATAATATTAGTGTAGAATAAGCCCATGTATTATACAATATATGCTAACCTCAGCGCCGAAACACATCAGAAAACAATTTGTTTTAATTTTTTTCGACCAAAAATTTAATTCAAATAATCGATTGATTGTTATTTTACTCACAAAAGAATTTCTACACTATTTTTGATGTTATTTTTCTATACGAAAAATACAAAATCATTAATTAAAGTATTACCAAAAGCCAAACGTTTTTGCCATACTATCAAATATTTTTCTAAATAATGAATCTAGGGCAATCAGCAAGAATATAAATTACAATCCAACTTTAACAACTACAGTAAACACCATAATAAGCATGCTCATTTACAGTCTTTAGTGTATTTATTCTATGTACCGTATTATCCCATAGACAACGCGCACCCCGTGTATAACGCGCAGTAAGAAATTTAACAATATTTTTGAATACAAAATCAATCGTAGATAACGCGCACCCTGTGTATAACGCGCATATCTTCTATTGTATGTTTAAACTTATTAGTGTTTTTAGAATACAATTCAAAAAAAATATAGTAATTAATTGTTGTAATTAAATAAATTTTAAACAATTAAAAACAACAAACAAAATCATTATTGATTCTGAATCTGATAATGTAAATACAGAAGACATGTTATCTAGATATTAGATATTAGATATGTATTCAGAATCAGGTTTTGATTTTGACTTATTTGATTGATTTTTATACTTATTATAATTATATTTACCGGTATTAATTGTGTTTTTATATTACATATGATAGTAATTTAATTTAAATATTTTTGAAACAATTATTAAAAGATATATACAAAATTATTAGCCCTGATTTTCTTTAGTTATGTCCGAGTGATGCATAACACTATTTTGCCTACTTTACACGTCTTTAAATATAACAGTTGTATTACATTAACAAATGAAAAATTATTTTTTTCTCTGTCTCTCATTTTGATTATAATTATTGTTTCATTTACTTTTGGATGCGATGTTTCAATTAAATACATATTGTTATTTAGTGTTGAATTGAATATTACATTCATAGCGAAAAATTAAGTGAACGAAAATTATGCGCTAATTTTTAAAATACTTTTAAAATAATTTTAAATACTTGTTTTGTGTAATTTATTTTTAAACTACATATAACGCGCACCCCGTAGATAACGCGCACCACTAATTTTGGCAAGAAATTCACTTTTTTCATTAGATAACGCGCGCGTTGTCTATGGGATAATACGGTATATTCTGTAGATTGTGTTTACATACTCTCAGTGTATATCAAAATTTATATGCATTTTTGCAACACATTTATAGTAATCTAATAGAAAAACGGAAATCTAATACAACATATACTTCCAGTTAAAATACATTGGGTTCACAATAAACGGGAATTTCAGTTTGCATTATAATAATACACAATTCAGTAGCGATTTTTATAACACTATTTACCCTTTTGTGTGACGATTGTATTGGGAATTTGAATTGAATGTTGAGTTTATTATATATTTCGTTTGTCGATATATACAGTACAGTACTATACTATGTATATACTGTACAATATAAGTCTAGCTCCGGCATAGTTTAGTCAATTCACTACCACTAGACAGCCGTCCATTTGTACGGCCATATCCTATTGCATTCAATTCAATACAGACTTACTATTGTTAAAGAATATTCTGGTAAATCGTAGGAATATTATAGTAATTCAATAGAAAAAAATTAGTACAAATATCATTAACTAAACTGCATATTCCGGATAAATTTAATGTATATTCCGGGAATATTTGGGCATAGATTCGCCGCTATTGCACCTAAAACTGGGCGCACCGACGATGAGTCTGGACAACATCCAGGAGGGGATCGACATCTACTTTGACTGCCATATCGACGCCAATCCCCGGCCGACGACACCAATTGTATGGCTTTTTAATGGCAACGCTCTGCACACCAGACAAGGTATGGTACATAACAAATGGCTTGGAATTCAATTTTTATGGGCATTACATTTTAAAATTACATTTGTATATATTATGTACTGTTAGACATAGATATAATGACCAGCATATTCGCCATGCAGTTATTTATAAATAATAATTATGATGAATATAAGTTAGCCAAAGGCACTATTTTAAATAAAATACACGTGATAAAATGATGTCATTCACTAAGATTAATACTGTGTGTCGATTTCAATGGCGGCGGGTTTGAGCTTAAATCCGAGTGTAGATTATATTTAACGAGAGGTCTATTGTGTATTATGTAGTCTATTATTACAGACGTATACCAAATATACTGTATATTATATTCACTGAACAGTGTATATAATATATAAGTGGAGACAATCTCGAGAGAGAGAGAGAGAGAGAGAGAGAGAGAGAGGGAGAGAGTTGTTTAAACAAATTGTAGTCTCTAAAATGTACACAAAAATAGAGTCAATATTTTATAGTCAAGTAGAGGATAGAGACTATGGATGAGAGGGACGGATAGATTTTGAAAAGAAAGATCTAGATAGATTGGTGCAAAATAGCAAAAAATGAAACTTGAAAACTATTTTTTCTATTAAAAAACTTCTTCGTATTTGTGTTGTATTGTGTTATTGATCACAAACACTATGGAGAGAGAGAGAGAGAGAGAGAGAGAGAGAGAGAGAGA